AGCAGGGAGCCCGATGCGGGACTCGATCCCAGGACCCTGAGATCATGACCTGAGCCGAAGGCAGACGCTTAACCATCTGAGCCACCCAGGCGCCCGGCTAAAAAGTTTTTTAAAACCTGGTAATACAGCAAGCTTGAGAGGATATGGAGAGAATATAACTCTTATACACTGGTGGTGAAAATATAAAATGATACTATCACTTTGGATAAAGCAATTTCTTACATACTTAAACGTGACACCTATCATATGACCAGCAATTTTTATAAACTTAATTCCATATAAACTCAATTTTCTTACATACTTTGATATACAATCACCATATGACCCAGCAATTCCAGTTCTAGGAACTGAAAGAAAAATGAAAGCAAATGTCCAAACAAATACTGTAAGTGAATGTTCATGGCAGCTGTATTCATAATAGCAGAGGCAGGCAAATTTTTTCTTAAATGGCCAGAGAGTAATGTGGTCAGTCTCTGTCACAACTACTCATTTCTGCCACTGTGGCCTGAAAGCAGCCACAGATAATACAAAAGGAATGGGCATAGCTAGCTGCTTTCCAATAAAACTTTTTAATAAAAACAGGGGGCTGGACCCTTACCTTGCAGACCCCAATAATCGCCCAGTACTATAAATAATCCAAATGAACACACCACAAGTAAATGAATAAACAGTGCATATCCATACAATGGAATACCATTCTGTAATAAGAAAGACAACTAATATATGAAATAACAGGTAAATTTCATAAACATTATGCTAAGTTAAAGAAGCTGGCACAAAAAATTACATATAATCATTTCATTTAAATGAAACATTAGGAAAGATAAATCTCATGTATCAAAATAAAAAGCAAATCAGGGGTTGCCTGAGGCTAGGGGTGGTGGTGAGGAATGACCGAGAAGATGCACAAGGGAATCCTCTGGAAGGATGAAAATGGCACTACACACTAATCGTGGTGGTTAGACCAATGTATTGTCAAAAACCCAAATCTGTACACTGAAAATATGGCCATTTTACTGAATGCTGTTTATACCCCAAAGTTTATTTTAAAAAATAGAGAATACTCATAACAAGGTAGAAAAAATTCATTCCTTTCAATTAAGTCTAGAGGAAAGAATCTAGTTAGAAGTCAGGTTGCAATAATTCTGAATGAACTCAATGGGGCCTGAACTAGAATTGTTATCAGTTGGGATACAGAAAAGTAGAGAGATTTGAGATTAATTCTCCAAAGTAGTTGTTTCCTAGATTTTTCCCATTATGCTTAGTTTCTCTCTGTTAATTTTCCATACTTTCTTTTGGTATCTAGAGTTCTTTGTTGTATACCCTGCAGGACATACTGTATGTATGATAATACATACCAACAAAACATTGCTATGCTGAGAAATCATAAAATAAAGCTAAAATAACACACGGGGTGCCTGGATGGCTCAGACGGTTGAGCATCTGACTCTTGATTTTGGTTCAGGTCATGATATCAGGGTCCTGGGATAGAGCCCCTCGATGGGCTCCACGCTTAGCAGGGAGTCGCTTCCCCTATCCTCCTCCCTCTGCTCCTCCCCCTGCTTGTGCACACACGTGTGCTCTCTCTCTCTCTAAAATAAATAAATCTTAAAAAAAAAAAAAAAAGCCATTTGCTCTCTGTAAATTCTGCATCCCTTGAAATGTCCTAGTCTTCAAAACATACTAATTTCTTTTAATATGAACAGAAGCAATATTTCATATAGTCCTAAATCAGAGCATTCAAATACTGAAGAAAAACACGCTTGAGCTCTTATTCTGTTGCTATTCACTCCTGCAGTATCTTTAAGCAATCAGAGTCTATCAATAAGAGTCAACTTGATTAACCTAGCAGGTTTGGTTTTGTATCCTTAACCACTAGTCAAAGGCACTACAACATAACAGAGATCCTCCCTGATGTCCCCACCTACCTACGTTTCTCCCTAAAAAAGAACCTTAGGAAGTGGTACAAAGAATCCTCAGTTCTATGGAAAGTATAGAAACTAGATACTCTAAGCTGCCTGGCTACATCTGTTCCTTGGAAAACCATGTATCTTTGGTAGGCAGATAGTTCACAAAAGGTGACAGTATCTAAACTGGTCCCCACTGATTCTTGTGTCTTGATAATCATGGCCTTGTGATCCTTGCGTGTGGCTGGCTAGACCTAGAGACTTCTAACAAATAAAATAGCACAATAGTGATGGATGTCATTCTGAAGCTAAGTTTCAAAGACTGTTTTCTGTCCTAGCCATCCTCTCTTGCTCTATCTCTGAGCCTTTGCCCTGTCGGAACCAAGCTACCATGTTGTGAGTAGCCTATGGAGAGGCTCATGTGGCAAGGAATTGATGCCTCCAGCCACCAGGCAGCCACGACTTGAGGTCTGCCAATAGCCACATGAGTAAGCTCGGAAGCAAAACCTCTCCCTATCAAGTTCTGAGATGAATGTGGGCTGGTCAACATTTTACCTGTAGCTTTGTGAGAGACTGAGCCAGAAGCATTCAGTTAAGTGGCACTGCAATTCTTGACCAAAAATCTGTTTGTTTCAAACTGCTATGATGCCGTAGAATTTCTTATGCAGCAAAAGGTAATTAAAGCAGTATTTGATAACTGCTATTCATTATTAAGAAGCCACAGGCATCTGAAGTTCAAGTTAAGTACTGCTGGTACCTTTTCTACCATCTTGCTCACAGCTATCCCAGAAGTGTGAGTATCTTGTCACCAACCATCTCTCCAAAATATGGAACTCAACATTTCTGTATTGCTGGAAGTACTACTCTAGTGCAGGAAGATCAGCAGCATTTTAAGATGCTATTTGTGTTGGGCGCCTGGGTGGCTCAGTTGGTTAAGCGACTGCCTTCGGCTCAGGTCATGATCCTGGAGTCCCGGAATCGAGTCCCGCATCGGGCTCCCTGCTGGGCGGGGAGCCTGCTTCTCCCTCTGACCCTCCTCCCTCTCATGCTCTCTGTATCTCATTCTCTCTGTCTCAAATAAATAAATAAAATCTTAAAAAAAAAAATGCTATTTGTGTTTACGCCATTTAAATTAAATACGACTCATGGTCAATAATGCTGCTACTCAAAAAACTGACATCTATGACAGGCGTTAAGTAAGCCTGTTTCATAAAATACATTAGACACTACTAAAACTGTATATTTGTTTGCTTCTGGAGCCATAACGGTTACAATGATGACTTCTTCAAAATAAATGAGAAAAATCTGTTTAGAACACTGTCCAAGTAGAAAAAATTAAGTAATACCTTTCAATTCTGTACTATAAAAATGGAGCCTTGGCCAATAACGGGACCTCCTTAGAATAAGTTATTTAGGAATTACCATGTTGTTCAGTTTTATTCTTCCATAATTCCTTTATATTGTTGTTTCTGTAAATCAGTACGTAAAATCCTGAAAATACCTGACAACATACAAAGATTCTAGGCTCATTGGCACAAGTACTTACAGTGAACCAAAGAATTTAGCCAAACTCTAAAGCAGTATTTCCTAAAATATTGCCATGTATACCACTAGCACTATATAAGCTGATTTTTGAGTCTCATAGACACAGAATTAAATCATCTTTAAGCAAGCTACTCTTCCCCCCCATTTTCTTTTGATCCTCTCTAATTACATTAAGAAGAAAACTTAGTTTAATGCTTACTTAACAAGTCTTCCAACCTTTGCTAAATCTTTTCACCAAGGATAAAGCAAGCATGCCTCAGGCTCAGACCATCCATGAAAGGCAACAGTATTTACTTGTTTTTAATACAGACTAAATGTCTCCTTTAAAAAAAAAAAAAAAAAGGTATGTAAGGGAAATAGATTCTAAAAAAATATTAAGTAAATAATGCCACAGGTCAGTGGTTCTCATAGTGTGGTCCCTGAACAAGCAGCAATAGCATCAACGTTACCTGAAACTTGTTAGAAATGCAAAATTTTGACACTGCCCCAGGTGTTCTGATGGAAAATTCTAGGGGAAAGAACAAACCGTTTTAATATGCCCTACAGGTATATCTCGTGTACACCTAAGTTTGTGAAATACTAGTAAAGACAGTAACAAAAAGTAATAACCATGTCAAAAGACATAACAAAATTCATGAAAGTGATAAATAAATTAAAGTTTGAAAATTACTGTTTAAAGTGATACTACCATCCTAATAACCCTTAGGAAAAAGGTCATTTTCTCTTCCAGAAAACTTCTAGCCAAATCATTGTGGAACAGCTAACCTTTACTAAATATGCCTTTAGGTTTTGGGTAAGGAATTAATATATAACAATGAACGTGCTGGTTTCTATCAGCTAGTATGGAAATATATCTACCATTTATTAAAATGGTAAGGCTATTTTAAAATAGCTAAAATGATGACTTTTGTCTTTATAACTTCATTTTAAGTAATTTTTTATTTGTCTCTACAGCAGCTCCTGTGGACTCTCACAGGCCAAAGATGGAGGGGAGAATTGGCAAATTATAGTGTGGGCTGCTGACCAGAGAGGGGAGACTAAGGGACAGGAAGCAGAAAAGAAGGGGCATTTTATATACACATTTTGTATTCCTAAGAAGAAAATTTTGCTATGAATTCTTCACATCAAGAGTAGAAACCAACTTCCAGAATGGCATAAGGACCTACGAAAATCCACTCTTCCATAAAAGCAGAGAATAGTAACAAAACTTGTCAAAATCAACTTTTTCAGAAGTATGAAAATTAAACAAAGGCTTGAGAGAATCTGAGGAACATTCTCAAGAAAAACAGGCCAATCTCAGTAAGAACAACAAACCTGTGGTGCTGTAATGTGCCTAATCCATCGTCCTCTCGTCAGCTCTGCAACAGTGTTGAAAACCAATAGACTAGCAACTCATGGTAGTTGTAAAAGCCATGTTCCTAACGGCCACCAGAGATCAAATTTGGAGTTCCCCAAAACCTCCATCCCCAGAGAATTGCTACCATTTGACCTGACAGGCAGCATGCTAAGAAGCTTGAAGTTACACTGTCTTTACATAATCTGACTCAGAGCTCTCTCTGTAGGAACAGCTATATCCCCAAGTTTTTCTTGAAAATAATCAGCAGCAATTATCTAACATAGCAGCTGCCTCGATGATATTACCAGCTGGGGGCTAACAAAAGGTAGACCAAAAAAATTTAAAGGAAAACTGGGGAATGGAAGGTCCACAGACGACTTGAAAGCTAGCCCGAACGTATTCCTGGGAATCTAGAATGCCATATGCACATGCAGGACTATGTTCATGCTAAGGAGAGACCTGAGCAGGTCCTAATCTCTCACCTCTGGCTAACCCTGAGGCTCTATGCAAACAAGAAATGAAGTCTAAGTAAACTGCATCCTGGTGTGTCAAAGGCATGCCCAATAGATTCATAGAGCCCCTCAGCATAGGGTGAGAGACTTATTAGCTAAAGGCATTTAAAGAACTCTGTTCAAACATTAGCTGACCACCAACTGAGCAGAAACATCAACGGCCACACACAACAAACAGACTTTACAAAATCAGTCTAGGAAAGTCACAAAGCAAACAACAAGAGCAAACCTAATTGACTACAGAGGCTGGAGGTGTCTATTTAACAGAGTTGTCACACTGTATTATTGAAACTGTCCAATTTTCAACCAAAAATTATGAGACACACAATGAAAAAGGGAAAGTATGGCCCATATTCCGGGATTAAAAATAGCATCCAATAGAAACTTCCTAAGGAAGCCCAGACAGTTGGACCTACTCAACAAGGACTTGAATTCACCTATAATAAACATACAAAGAACTAAAGAAAACTGTATCTAAAAAATTCAAGGAAATTATGAGAACGTTTCACCAATAAAGAGACAGAAATTACAATGATGAGCCAAGTACAAGTTCTAGAGTTGAAAGATATAATAATAAAAATGAAAAATTTAATAGAAAGATTCAATAGCAGTTTTGCTGGCAGAAAAAAGAATCCACAAACATAAGAGCAAGTTAGCTGAAATTATCCAGTCTGAGCAACAAAAAGTGGAAAGGAAAGAAAAATGAAGAGTCTCAGACACCAAAAAAATTTAAAGGAAAACTGGGGAATGGAAGGTCCACAGACGACTTGAAAGCTAGCTCAAACGTATTCGGCACTACGAAGAACACCAGCATATGTATAACGGGAGTCACAGGAGGAGAGGAAAGGACAGAAAAGATAGATATCTGGAAAAATAATGGCTAAAAACTCATTTTGATGAAAAACACTGAGCTACGCACACAAGAAGCGTAACAAACTCCATGTAGGATGAAATCCATGTAGGATAAACTCAGAAATCCCCACCTACTAGACATACGAGTCAAACTATTCAAAGACAAAGAACAACTTTAAAGTATCAAGAGAAAAGCAACTCACTGCATTCAATAAGATAAATAGCTGAATTCTCGTTAGAAACCATGCAGGCCTTGGGGCGCCTGGGTGACTCAATCGTTAAGTGTCTGCCTTCGGCTCGGGTCATGATCCCAGGGTCCTGGGATCGAGCCCTGCATCGGGCTCCCTGCTCAGGGGGAAGCCTGCTTCTCCCTCTCCCATTCCCCCTGCCTATGTTCCCTCTCTCGCTGTCTCTCTTTCCATCAAATAAATAAATAAAATCTTTAAAAAAAAAGAAACCATGCAGGCCACAAAGCTGAGGGATGACATATTTAAAGTGTTGAATAGAAAGACTGAACCAAGAATTCTATATGCAGGAATTCTATATTCTAAAGTTTCCTTCAAAAATAAAGGAGAAATTAAGACATTCTCAGATAATCAAAACTTAGAGAATCTCTCACTTTCAGACATGCCTTATAAGAAATACTAAAGGGAGTTCTGAAATGAAAGGCTGAAATGAAAGGACAGTGAATAGCAATCTGAATCCACATGAAGAAATAAGGGGCACCAGTAAAAAAAAGGTAATTACACAGGTAAATATACAAGACAGTAAAAATGCACTTTTGTGTGTATTCTCATAAGACAACTGCATAAAAACAATCATTGTAAAACTGTGTTTATGGGATTATAATGTATAAAGATGTAATTTCTAGGCAATAATAGTACAAAGGGAGAATGGAGCCACAATGGAGCAAATTTTTTGTATACTATTGAAATTAACTTTGCATTAATCTGAAACAAGATTGTTTTAAGATTTAGTTGTAATTTTCAGAGCAACAACTAAGAAATAACAAAAAATATATAGTGATCTCCACTTTACTAAATGATTTCCAAATTACTAAATCAAATTACTAAATCAATTCTCAGCTCTCACATCAATCAAGAGCAAATGACATAGCTTGATCACCACCTTCTCTTCGAAACACAATCTTCTTTTTCCTCTTTCTCAGTCTCACTTGTTGGATCCTTTTTCCAACCTCTAAATGATGGAGGCCTCTGGGATCAATCCTTGGCCCCCTTCTCTTTTCTAGCTACATTTACTCATTAGATAATCTTATGTAGTCTCATCACTTACCGTCCCATCTAGAAGCTGATGACTCCCAAATTTGTGTTGCATCCCTAATCAATCTCCTGAACACCAGACCCAACATATCCAACTGCCCATTTTCTATCTCCTTCTAAATATCTAATAGACTAATGGTACTTTAACCTATATGTCCAATATATAACTACATAGCTCCTTCCCTCACATCTTTTAGCTCTCTGCTCCAATATGAACTTCTTCAGATAAGCTACACATGACTATTCTATGTAAAACAGAACCACTTTGTCACTCTCCATCCCATAATTCTTTTTCCTTTTTCTTCATTGTACTCATCACAACCTATTTAAGTGTATGTTTCTGCTTCAGGTAAGCTCTAGAAGAAATGAATCCTTGTTCACTGTTTTACCTTCAGGGCATTGAACATACTTAACATTTATTAGAGAGAAGGGAATATTGATGAAAGATAAATGTTAATGGGCTTTACACCAATGCATAATACAAATGATAAAAAGATACTTACTTTTCCTTTTTTTCTTGTTTGTGGGCCTCTCTTGTAATTTGAGCTGCTTTTCTACTATATGGATGGATGACTTTTTTTTCCCGTCCTACAAGTTTTCCCTTTAGGGCTTTAGGCTAAAATTAGGAAAATACATGACACACATAGTCAGATATGGAAGTGATTTCAGTTAAAAAATTTCCTTTAGAAATAAATTTAAAAAACAGTAATATAAGAAATACCATAAGCCAGAAACACCACTCTAGGAATTAGGAGATAAGCCAGACCCGTTAAATGATTGGAACAGCATTGGTTTCCATTGTCATAACAGAAATGATGTATTCGAAACTACTCTTCAGTGATATAAGAAAATAAAGAAAGGCACAGAAAAGGTCAATAAAGCCAGCTCTTCAACTCTTACTATCTTCAAAGTAGGTAAGTGAATGCAGGTAGTGAGAAGACAGAGTTAAAAATTTGTGTTACAGTTAAAAAAGCTGGGGAAGTGGAAGGAACATAGGATGTTCACGGAAGCTTGACTGCAGAAGTTGCACATGGAACAGAGTCGGCACTGAATCAAGCAAAATCAAAGCTGGGTTCATAGAAAAACAGGAATAGGGGAAATAATACAAGCCATCTCAAAATTAGCACATCCAAAAAAGAACAAATTATTTTCCCATTCAAACCTTATGCCAGTTAACAAGGTCCCAATTCATTCGGCACACTGAACTAGACATTTAACTCTTTATTCCTACATAATTCTATATTTTATCATACCTGTTTTTATTTTGGAATTAGGTTTGACTTCCTATAAGAGAAGCCCAAAGTAATAATGGTGTAACCTGATAAAGTTTAGTTCTCTCATGTAAGAAGTAGGAGCTGGAGGCTCTGCTTCACAAAGTCCTCAGAGATCCAGGCTCTTTCCATCTACTATCCTGAGGCTATAACCTCCTGTATGTCTGTATAGCTCAAGATGACTTAATAACAGGGGCGCCTGGGTGGCTCAGATGGTTGGGCGTCTGCCTTCGGCTCGGGTCGTGATCTCAGGGTCCTGGGATCGAGTCCCGCATCGGGTTTCCTGCTCCTTGGGAGCCTGCTTCTCCCTCTGCCTCTCTCTCTCTCTCTTTGTCTCTCATGAATAAATGAATAAAATCTTTAAAAAAAAAAAAAAGATGACTTAAATAACAAGTCTAAACTTCAGCCAGAGAGAAGTAGAAAAGAAAATCAAAAAGCACACCCCTTTCCTTTAAGAGCAAGATATCAGGAAGCTGGAGTCTTCTGTTTACAACCCATTGATCAAAATTTAATCAGGGGGTTATGTAAAGGAGAGTAGTAAATATAATTGTTATTCTCAGAAAAAATACATTGTTACAAAAGAAAAGATTCTAGTTGGGGACAACTGGCCGTCTCTAACATACCTAATCTCAAAAAGGTTCTTGGAACCTTCTCTTCAAAACTATTGTCATTGCCTTAATTCAGCCTCATGATTTTTCATGATTAGGATGGCCTTTAGATTCTCACTGCTCATTCTTTTTTCATGGAAGTCGCAAAGCTTATTTTTCTACAACATTTATCTGGTAAAGTCCTTCTCCCCTGCTAACGAGCTCACAGTTACATCCCAAATCCTTAACGTGGAAAACAATCTACCCCCAACCTACGTCTCCAGCATTATTTCTTACTCTTCAAAACATCCTTCATCCCGTTCTTACTGAACTTCTCCCCCATTTCCAGAACACACCATGCTGTTTCGTAACTTCTGAAAACTGCACTGGTTACCTCTGCCTGAAAAATCCTTTTCTCCTTCCTTGTCTTTTCATAAAATACAACTCAGAGTCACTTCCTCTGTAAAACTTTTGGCAGAATTAATTATAATGACCACCAATTCCTCATTCACACATGTATTCATTCCTTCAACTAATATTCACTGAAATACACCAACAAATATTTACCACTCACTTCTTGATACACCTAGCCAAGATAACTGCCACTCTGAAACCCAGAATGGCACTGGAAGGTGGTTACAGGTATAGAAGAATAATGTGAAACCATCATACAACAATACAGGCATGCTTTGTTTTACTGTGTGTCACAGATATTGTGGGGGTCTTGTTTTGTTTGTTTACAAACACGGTTTGTGGCAACCCTGCATGGAGCAAGTCTATGGACACCACTTTCCCATCAGCATTTGCTTACTTCATGTCTCTATGTCACATTTCACTAATTCTTGCAATATTTCAAACTTCATTATTATTACTATATTTATTATGGAGCTCTGTGATCAGTGATCTTTAATGTTACTCTTGTAATTGTTTTGGAGCCCCATGAACTGTGTCCATATAGGCAAACTTCATCAATAAATGCTGTGTGTGTCCCTACTATTCTCACTGACCAGCCATCTCCCATCTATCTCCCTCTCCTCAGGTCTATTTCCTGAGACAAAACAGTATACAAATTACACCAATTACTAACCCTACAGTTGCTTCTACGTGTTCAAGTGAAAGAAGTCGCACATCTCCCACTTTAAATCAAAACCTAGAGATGATTAAGCTTGGTGAGGATGGCATGTCCAAAGCTGAGATAGGCCAAAAAGTTAGGCCTCTCTCTTGTGCCAGTTAGCCAAGTTGTGAAGGCAAAGGAAAGTTCTTGAAGGAAATTTAAAGTGCTATTCCAGTGAACACAAGAATGATAAGAAAGCAAAACATCCTTAATGCTGATAAAGAGAAAGTTTTGAGTGGTCTGGATAGATCACACCAGCCACAACATTCCCTTGAGCCAAAGCCTAATCCAGAGAAAGGCCCACCTCTCTTCAATTCTAAGGCAGTGGTTTCATCTCCAGGCACAACTGGGAGGTGAGGAAGCTGCAGAAAAAATTTGAAGCTAGCAGAGGTTGGTTCATGAGGTTTAAGGAAAGGGGCAGTCTCCAAAAGTGTAAAGTAAAACAGCAAGTGCTGATGTAGAAGCTGCAGCAAGTTATTCAGAAAAATCTAGCTAAGATAATGAAGGTGACTACACTAAACAAGATTTTCAATGTATATAATATACCCTCCTACCAGAAGATGCCATCTAGGACTTTCAGAACTAGAAAGGAGAAGCCAATGCCTGGCTTCAAAACTTCAAAAGACAAACTCTCTTGTTAGGGGCTAATGCAGATGGTAACTTTAAGCTGAAACTAGTGTTCATTTACCATCCCCAAAATCCTACGGCCCTTAAGAATTATGGGAGATCTACTCTGCCTGTGCTCTATAAATGGAACCACAAAGTTTGGTTGATAGCACATGTTTATAACATGGTTTACTGAATATCTGAAGCCCAATGTTGAGACCTACTGCTAAGAAAAACAGATTCATTTTAAAATATGACTGTTCATTGACAACGCACCTGGTTACCCAAGAGCTCCAATGGAGACAAACAATGGGATTAATGTTGTTTTCATGCCTGCTAACACAACATCCATTTTGTAGCTCATGGATCAAGGAAATTTTGACATTTGAGTCTTATTTGAAAAAAAATTTCATTTTATAAGGCTATAGCTGCCATATACAGTGATTCCTCTAATGAATCTGGGCAAAGTAAAGTCCTGAAAGCCTTCAGAAAAGGATTCACCATTCTAGATGCCATGAAGAACATTCATGATTCCTGGGAAGAGATATAATATAATATAAAATATACAAAATACAAAATATAATAAGAATGGGAGTTTAGAAGAAGTTGATTCCAACCTTCATAAATGACTTCAAGGGTTTCAAGACTTTATGAGGAAGGAGGAAGGAAGTGCAGATGTGGTGGACATGGCAAGAGAATAGAATTGAAGTACAGCCTCAAAATATCACTGAATTTTGCTACAATCTCATTATAAAACTTGAATGGGTAAAGAGTTGCTTCTTACAGATGAACAAAGAAAGTGGTTTCTTGAGATGGAATCTACTTTTGATGAAGATGCTGTGAAGACTGTTGAAATGACAGCAAAGGATTCAAAATATTACATCAACATAGTTGATAAAGCAGTGGCAGGGTTTGGGATGACTGACTCCAATTCTGAAAGAAGTTCTACCGTGGGTAAAATGCTATCAAACAGCACTGCATGCTACAGAGAAACTGTTTGTGAAAGGAAGAGTCAATTGACGTGGCAAACCTCATTATTGTCTCATTTTAAGAAACTGTCACAGTCACCCCAACCTTCAGCAACTTCTACCCTTGTCAGCAGCCTGAGGCAAAAGCCCCAAGCAAAAAGAGTACAACTTGCAGAAAACTCAGATGGTTAGCATTTTTAGCAATAAACTATTTTTTATTAAGGTATTCACATTGTTTTTTAGATAGATGCTACTGCGCACTTAATAGTCTACAGTATAGTGTAAATAAAATTTCTCAATGCATTGGCAAACCAAAAAGTCATCTGACTTGCTTTATTGTGATATTCGCTTTACTGGGGAAGTCTGGAACTAAACCCACAATATCTCTAAGATATGTCTGTATGTGCATTTTTTTTGTGTTATTCTCTGCACATGTGGGGTGGGGGGTGCAAGAAAGAAAGGTATGATAAGGATTTTTTTGTACATGAAGTTTACCTAGCAAACAGGAATCAATAAAAACATTTCAGAACCCATGGTAGGTTGCCTCTAAGATTCTCACAATAAATTCCACCTCTGGATATTCATGTCTAAGTATAATCTCCTCCCCTAGAGTGTGGACCTAGCGACTTACTTTTAATGAATAACATTTAGCAAATGGAGGAACTACCAATCCTGAGATTAGGTTTTGTAAGGACTCTGGCTTCCATCTTGCCTATTGTCTTTTGCTCTCTCACTAGGTTAGCTCTGATGGAACCCAACTATCCTGCAATAAGCTGTCCCACGGAGAGGCCTATCTAACAAACAAATGAGACAGGCTGCCACCCTACAGCAGTGAAGAACTAAGGCCCTGAGTCCAGTCATCTACTAGGAGATAAATCCTACAAAAAACCATGTGAGTGAGCTGGGAAGTGCATGCTTCCCAGTTGTGCCTGGAGATGAAACCACTGCCTCAGATTAAACCTTGATCGCAACCTTGTGAGAAATCTTGAAGCTGAGGATCCAGATAAGCCATGCCTCATTCCTGACTCATAGAAACGGAGATAATTAATGTTGTTGTTTTAAGTCACTAAACTCTACTGAAAGAAGTTTAGAGTAACTGATATAAAAAACTGGAAAACCTCCAGTACCAAGCTGAGCTTAAACTCAAGAAAGGGCACAGCAGGGCCACTGGTGATGTACCAGAGAACTGAAAATGGCAGCAAATGTGCCAGTGAAATATCCTCCTACCACATAGCCTGATAAAGTGAAATTCTGATACTCAAGGAAAACTACATTCAAATGCCAACCAACGCCCAATCATATCTAATGTTTCAGTGTTCCACTCTTGAAACGGAAAAGCTATGAAAGAAAATTATCTTATAGGGGCGCCTGGGTGGCTCAGTTGGTTAAGCGACTGCCTTCGGCTCAGGTCATGATCCTGGAGTCCCGGGATCGAGTCCCGCATCGGGCTCCCTGCTCGGCGGGGAGTCTGCTTCTCCCTCTGACCCTCCTCCCTCTCATGCTCTCTGTCTCTCACTCTCTCTCTCTCAAATAAATAAATAAAATCTTAAAAAAAAAAAAAAGAAAAAAGAAAATTATCTTATAAAGGGTTGGAAATAACACAAGTGCAGTGATAAGCGAAAAGAGTAAAATTATACATATACAAACGTGTATGATCTAAGGCAAAAAAACCGTATAGATGTGAAAGACAAAAATGACAGGCATACAACAAAAAGAAGAAAAAGGAAAAAGAACAAAGAGAATAAAAGACCTTGTGGCCAGAGTATCATAACTTTTTACCAGATTGTAAACTTTTTTACATTGTTGTTTTTATTAAAAACTGGTTGAAAATGAATAGGAAACATTTTCCTATTCAAGAATTATTCTAATGAATATTAATAAATGTTTAAAAAAGCAAGAAGAAACAACAACCGTGTTGGAATACAACATAAGTGGTAACTATAAAGAAAAGCAAGGGAATTATAAATACAAAATTTAGATACTGTTTACCTGAGGGCTCCTGAACGTTATAGATCCATGGAAGGAAACACAGAATCTTTCAGAAGTTTTATTTCTTAAACTGGATAATGGATAAACGAGAGTTCCTTACACTACTAATCTTTATACTTCACTATGTTATGTAAACACTCTTTTGCATCTAGTCAATTTTTAATAAAAACAGAATAGTTTGAGCGTCCTGGAGGGAACTGGGGGGGGGGCATGGAGGATTTGGGGAGCGAGCACATCACTGGAGGGCGGCGACAGGACACCAAGAAAGAAGAGATTGAGCCTAAGCAGTCTAAACCGGCAAGAGGTGGCACACCGGTATGGAGGCAACACTTTCCCAAGTTTTGCCGACCTTCCCCCCACACCATCCTCCCGCCCCCCACATACTAGTGAGTAGCAAGTAAATGTAAACGTGAGTCTTTTCCCGAGGGACAGGGCACTCTGTGAACACTTCAGAACCCAGAAGTTGAACTTTAAGGTCCAGACGCGGGGCCAGGCGGCCACCTCGGGACTGTCCTGCCCTGCACCCCCCCACCCCAGTGTACGGACCAGTAGAATCCTAAGTAGCCCCGGTCCCCTCTCCTAGTATCCCAAGACCGCCCCCTTCCCTCCAGTCTGCCCAAGGGGGGCCTTCCAGAGAGCCAAGCGGGTTCAGGGGAGCGGGAGGGGGCCCACCATGGTGACGTCCTCACGGCCCTGCAGGACCTCGGCAGCCCAGATGAGGGAAACACCAACAACCGCTTCAGCTCCGAGGAAAAGTCCAGCGTAAACACACGTGGTTGCCGGAGAAGACCGGGCCGACCCGACCGGAAAGGGAGGGGCAAGTACGTCTCTCTAAAAAGTTCCCGGGAACCAAGACCATGTCTTTTTATCCCGTGTTAGACTTTTCAGCCCCGTACCAGCCGGCAGCCTCCTGGCCGGCTTGCCAAAAACGGTGGGAGGGAGCCTGGGACGGGAGGGTGAACTTGGCCCAGCGCCCAGTGTGAGGCCTAGCCTTTGAGCTGGGCTTACCGATGCTAGACGCTCCTGGCTAGTGGTGTCCCAGGCCCGGGCGTTGATCTCCTGCATCATCTGCCCTGGTGCACAGCCCCCAGCTGAACAGCATCTCCCGACGAGGCTGGAGGTTCTTGCCTCGCAGAGGCTGGCCCCCTCCCCGTTAGACTGTTAGGAGATGGCCCACGTCCTAGTATGGCAAAAGGCCCTCTGCTCACCTCCGTTACCTTGAGCAAGGCTTTCCCCTAACTGAGTCTCAGTTTCTTCACCCATTAAGGGCCCTTCTACAGATCCAAGAACCCTTCCAACCTAGTTTTTTTGTTTTCTTCTCGCAATGTGTAAGAGTCTGTGTTTTACCTGTATTTGTTAGGATTCCACAGACCGTATATGCGTTCAACACATATGTGATTGTCTACTGTGTGCCAGGCTTTGGGGATACTCCGAGTGTTAGTGAATAAATAATTAAGTAAATAAATAAATAAAATTATTATTATTATTATTTCAAATAGTATAATTACTCTGAGGAAAATAAAGATGGTGGCATAGGCAGGAAAGTTGTTTTACAAGTGGTTGTCTCTGAGATCCTCTTGAAAATGAGAGTTGAGCAGAGACTGATACTAAAAAAAAATTATTCAAGAGGCTTGTTAAAGGATGGTAAGGCAGACTTTATTCAGGGGGGGTGTATAAGGATCACTGCTACCGCGTCTTGCAGTGGGGGATACAGATTGGGCGGGTGGGAATTTATAGCCAAGGAGCAGGGTGAGGGGTGATGGATGGAAAATTACCAAGAGGAAACGTCAGGAGTAAGGGGGCATTCTGGCTAAACCAACCTAACAAGATTCTTGCAATAGTCAGTACCCACTGTGATCAGACATCACCAGGAAGATGGTGGAGGATCAGGAAACTGATTAGATAAAGATATCAAGCTTGACCAGATGTAGAGGATGGGAGGACTCTAGCTAGACTGACTTTCTTGCTAAAAATGAACCCTGCAGAGAAGAAAGGGAAATCCAAAATTCTAGGCCTAGGTGAAAAAGAGTTTGGGGAGCCTGAGTAGAGTGTGGTCAGGGAGAGAATCTTGTCACTTGAATGAAAAGAGAAAAGTAGGTATGGGAAGAAGCCACAGGCAGGGTGAAGTTGGGTGTGTCTGGATAGGCATGTGCAGGTACATGTATTTAATCAACAAATATATCCATTCAAAAAAATAGATGAAATTGTAACCAAGAATTTGTGACCAGAAGATCCATGAATCTAGGGGCAAGGCATTTTCATACGGTTTTTAAGTGTGTGCAAGTGCATTCTATGTGAATCTACACTATGAAGGTCACCCTTACAATATATGCTATGGAAACATTAGTCTACTGAGGACTTCAATTAATCCAAAACATTTCACTTTACTTCTATGCTTTCACCATTTCTTATGATACAAATTGTACCCTCCCTACCCCATTCCCCGAGTCCAGCCCAGTGCCAGTCAGCTTCCTGAGGGCTATGTTACTGCCAATCCAGTGAGCATTCAATTCTTATTCTGGCTGTTACAGCTGTTGCTAATTGTTTTACTAATCACAAAATCTATACCTGCCCTACCCCATTCCTAAATTTCAGATTGCCAACAACTCAACAAACCATATTATCCTGAGATTATTTTTTTCATTTTAATTCGGGTTTTGAAAATAAAAGACTTAATTTTTCCCCATTCAGACTCAATCCCTAAATAACATTGACTATGAGCAAGACATCATGCTCAAAATATCCTGCAGCAAATGCAAAAGTGAGTTATACAAAGAAAGCCTACAAGTAACAATGATGACTAACATTTGGTCATGATTTAATGTGATATACACCACTCTGATAAGCAGAATGAATCTCCCCCCCTTCCTTCCAATACAATGCCCCCATGACTCAATAACAGTCATGACAGTTCATGGACAGTTCAGAGACATCTTTAGAGAAAATTTCCTGTGCTTTAACAAATACTCTGAGAGATGTGTGTGAGTGTGTGTGTGTGTATGTATGGGGTTAAGGGGTTAAGTAATGATTGGTACTAGATATTGATACAATAAGAACACTTGTACAATTTCTAGGGCAACCACTAAAACAATAAAAACAGGATATGTAACTTTGAATAGGATAAAAACAAGTAGAGAAAATAAATGGAATGATTAAAAAAATACTCAGACAACTCAAAGCAAGGAAATAAGGGAAAAAAGAAACAAGATGATAGGAAAAGTAGAAAACAAAAATATGGTGGTAGATTTAAATCCATTTAACAATAATTATGTACTAACTGCTCCCAATTAAAAAATAAATATTTCGTGTTGGATTTAAAACATACAACTGTGTCCTGTTTTTGAGAGATACATCTAAAATATAAGGAAACAGAACAATTAAAAATAAAAAATGGAAAGACATGCTAAGCAAATACTAACTGAAAGAATGCTGGTATAAATATATGAATGTTATACAAAATAGAAAAAAGTAGTTAGAGGTTACTTCTCAATGATAAAAAGTTTCTATTTTAAATTTATATTTACTTAGTACCATAGCCCCAAATATATAATGGAAAACCTGATAAAATTTCAAGGAGTAGTAGAAAAACAAATTGCCCTGTTAGGAAATTACCTTTCTTCAATAATTAATTGAACAAGCTGGTAAAATACTAACAATGATTTGAAAGACTTGACCACAACATAATTTGAACTAATGGATCTGTTCAGAATACTGCTTCCAGTGTTTGTAAGAACACATATATTTTCAAACATATATTAAATAGTTACCAAAATGATCATATATTGGGCCAGAAAGCAGGTCTAGACAAATTAGAAAGGATTGAAATCCTACAGAATGTGCTCTCTAACCACCATGCAATTAAACTAGAAATCAACAAGAAGATAGCTAGACAATTCCCATATATTTAGAAATTAAGAATTATACTTCCAAATAAGTCATATGTTAAAGAAGAAATCATAACGGATATTAGAAAATACTTGGGGCTGAAAAAATAACAAAATACTGCATATCCGAATTTGTGAGATACATCTGAAGCAGTAATTAGCTCTTTTAGTATAAGTACTAGAGTCTTAGTATAAACACCAGAGAAAAGAAAGGCTGAAAATTAATGAACTAATCCATATCAAGAGTCCAGAAAAGAAACAACAAAAGAAATTCAAAGCAGAAGTTAAAATAATGAACAGAAATTACTGAAATAGAAAAAAAATATATATATAATTGAGATCAGGAAGATCAAAATGTGTTTCCTTTTAAAGAACAATAAAGTTGATACATTCCTGCAGGATCACTTAAAAAAATTAGAAAAGATACAATTAGCCAATATCAGAATTAAAGCAAGGTGACATTACTTCATATTATGCAAGCATAAAGGGAATTATGACCAAATTAACTTAAATAAAATGGACAAATTCTTAGGAAAAAATATAACCTACCAAAATGTATGCAGAAGAATAGAAAACTTGAATAGTACCATTATCATTTTAAAAAATAGTTACTCAAATATCTTCCCACATTAAAATTACAGGCTCAAATTTTTTAGATTTTATAAATACATACAAATAGAGATAGAACAGCACTTCCTTAATATGATAAAAATGTGCATGAGTAGTGGTGATACTGGGCATCATTGTCTTATTCCTGACCTCAAGAGAAAGCTTTTTTTTTTGGATTTTGGAAAGCCACTTTGGCAATCTCTAAAAAGTTGAAATGTGTACATCCTCTAACCCAGCATTGTCATTCCCAAACGTATACCTTAGGAACTCTGGCACATGTATCTCAGGATATAAAAACAAGGTATTTATAACAGTATTGCTAATAATAGCCCAAAGTAGAAAAAAACTAATTGTTCCTTAACAAAAGGATAGAAAAATAATCTGTGGTAAATTCCATAAAGCAGTGAGGGGCACCTGGGTGGCTCAATCAGTTTAGCATCTGCCTTAGGCTCAGGTCATGATCCCAGGGTCCTGGGATTGAGCCCCACATCAGGCTCCCAGCTCCACAGGGAACCTGCTTCTTCCTCTCCCTCTGTCTGCCGCTCCCCCTGCTTGTGCTCTCTCTTTCTCTCTCTCTGTCAAATAAATAAATAAAACCTTTTTAAAAAATTATTGGCTCATCCAATAAAGTGTGCTTTATGTGGCATGTGTTGTTCAATTTAATTATTTTTTTTAACATTCTTTTCATACAGTTGTATTCCTCAGGTATGTCTTTTTCTTGAACCTGTGACATCACATTTCACTGATGGAATCAGCTCTCTTGTCCTACTATAATGTGTATTGGGGAAGTGCTCAAAGTCATACTCTCACCTGTGTCCTTGGAAAATTTGAAAACAAGGAGGATCAAGTCTCAAAGGAGAGAGCTCCAGGGACAGCAGAACCTTTGCTGCCAAGAAGTGCAGGAGGTGCAAAGGTCCAAGGGCATCATTGCACCTGTTTTCATCAGCTCCTTACTTTACCCGCACCCGTTTTCATCAGCTCTTTACTTTAGCTGAGTTCTGTCTTCTCTGCTCGTGCCTCACACTACTGGGAGGCCAGGGATGTTCCACATTACTAAGGTAAAGTAAGAGAGACAGGAGCTAAAATTACACCCTCTCCACATCCTCCCCCAGCTGCCACAGATGTCCTCCTCCCAAGCGACTGTTGTGTTCTCCACCTACTTCCCACCCCATCATTCGCTAGTTCCCATCCTCCTAGGGATTCTCACAGTTGTGATTTTACTTCCAACTGCCAATACCTTCTTGTTTCTATCATTTTTCAGGGTTGATTTTGGAGTAGCCTGCACTACTTTATCATTTTATCCTACTTATTTTTAGAAATACTGATTATATAAGTAAAATTAGCCTTTTGCTATACATGATATAATTTTTCTCTTGACCTGTTTGTGACAATGCTTGCTGGGGAGAGATTATAAAATGTCTTTCAATAGGGAGTTGTTATGTAAATGGTTTAAAGATGGCCCCTGTATATGGGCCTTTTTTGTTTTCACCTTCACAGCAGGCTGGGACCTCATAACTCAAAAGCCAGGTGGTGCCAAACTCAAATTTTTATGCAACCAATTGTTTGAAATACAGTTCAAAAAAGGAGATTTTTTAAAAGCATTTAGAGCCTCCTTGCTTGGCATACCCAACCATCACCCAAAATCTGTTAGCCATAGGTAAGGTAAACCCTGGGGCTATAAAGACCCCAAGCTGCTCCTGCCTTTCAGAGCTCTTGGGCTTAGAGTCTCCCCACAAACTGGTGATTAATAATCACCTAGACACACAGCCCCTTCTCCAAACCCTCTCTCTAATCCCCCTCTTCCCATTCTGGTTAGTGGCCTTCAGCATTGCCTTTAGAAGATGTCATGAGCTGAAGGACTCCCCTCCCAATGCAAATCTGTCAAAGCTCCTACCAAATAAAGCTCTTTGTGTGCTACTATCATCTCCTGGTCATATCCATGAACTTGCTACAGTAGTTAAATAGGTAACAAACAATTATTTGCTGCTGTTTTAAAAAATGATTTAAATCTATATGTACCTATGTGGAAAAATGTTGTGTATATTATTATCCATGCGTAGAAAATATCTGGAAGGATATACAATAAATTGTTAGTAGTTAATGAGATTAAGGTTGAGGTGGGGGTTGCTCAGAACATAAATTTTTACTCTATTCTACAGTGTTTGAATTTTGAAAACAGTGTATTTTTTGTTTTTGTTTTTTTTTTTAAGATTTTATTTATTCATGAGAGATAGAGAGAGAGAGAGGCAGAGGCAGAGGGAGAAGCAGGCTCCCGGCTCCCCGCGGAGCAGGGAGCCCGACGCGGGGCTCGATCCCAGGACCCTGGGATCATGACCTGAGCCGAAGGCAGACGCCCAACCGACTGAGCCACCCAGGCGTCCCGAAAACAGTGTATTTTATAACTTTTTTCCAATTAAAAAAAGAAGATCGAGAAAAGTTGAATTTGATGATTAAAGTGATCAAAGATTTTGGTGTCTTTAGAAATGGGTTAATGCAAACAAAATAAAAGGGCTAGTCATCAAGTTTAGGCTGTAAGTGTGAGAGTCCTAACCCCTCGGACCTCAAAATGTGACCTTATTGGGAAATAGAGCTATTGCAGATGTAATTAGGTAAGATGAGTTCACTGCTGGAGAAGGGTGGGCCCCTAATTCAATATGACTCATCCCTGACAAAAAGATTAATTTGCACATGACGTGCACACAGGGGATGACGTGAGAATATGGGAATTATGCTGCTACGATGCCATATGGATTGAACTGTGTCTCCCCCGAACCAAAAAAAAAAGATATGCTGGAGTGCTAACTCCTACCTCAGAGTGTGATCTTATTTGGAGATAGTCTTTCCAGAAGTAATCAAGTTAAAACAAGATCATTAAGGTGGGCCCTAGTCCAATACAAGTGTCTTTATAAAAAGGAGAAATTTGGACACAGACATATATAGAAGGAACAGGATGTGAAGGGCCACAGGGCGAAGACAGCCATTATCTACAAGCCAAGGAGAGAAGCCTGGAATAGATCCTTCCCTCACTGCCCTCAGGGGAATCAACCCTACTCACACATTGATTTTGGACTTCTAGCCTCCAAAACTGTAAGACTATAAATTTTTTGTTTAAGCCATTCTGCTACAGTAGACCCATCAAACACTCACCAAAGTAGATCCATGGCTTTCTCCACTTCTCCTTCTCAGTCTTGTCAAATGCTTGCATTAAATTTAATGTTCAGTTATATATATATATAATGGAGCTAACAATACAAAGAACTCCCTACTTAAGTCCTTTATCAACTGACTTGTGCACTGTTGTGTTGGTTGCACCTTCCCTGCATTTATTTTTTCTCCAAGTCTATCTTTCCTAACACTATCAAAGCGATTTTCTAAAGCACTACAATGATCAAGACATTCAGATGATGAAAATCTTTCTATTGTACCAGCCTTGACCCCAAAGCAACAGCACAAAGGAAGACCAAGAAACAATCCACTTGGATCTGTTTCAAGGTCTTTTCAAGAGCAGGCTTCTTGCCTTCCCCAACATTGTTTCTCAGCATGAATCTTTTCTTCCTGTCAGATTAGAAATTCTCTTTTCTGCTTCCATAACTTTGTTCACATCCTCTCTTCTTTACACTAACCAAAATTCTACCCATTCTACAAAGTATAGGTCGAAGATTACCTCTTCGGCGACACCTTCCCTAGGCACTAGCTGAGAGTATTCCTTTGCCCTGGTTTTACACTTGGCAACCGTAAGCATCTACTATAAGTATGTGTGTGCCTACCTGTCTTCTCGATTAGATTTAAGTCCAGTATCTGGAGGACAAGAACCATCTTTGATTCACTTATAGAGCATTACATAAGCCTGTTATCTATCAGGTATGCAATAAAGAAATGAATAAATTGTTACTATTTAGTGAACAAAATCTGTTTTGGTTCTTAAGCATTAAAAAATACGGTTTTGAAGATGGACTGTTTTGAACTTGAAAACATTGTAAATAAATACTATTATAAGATTGTGTACACAGCACAGCCAAAGTTACCTTTCTTCTATCTTTTTGTTTGTTTGTTTGTTCTTTCCTATGGGGAGAGGAAGTGGACAGGACAATGTCCATCTTCAACTTTGCAGATGAGGAAATACCTGAAGGAATGACTGGTTAGGCAGAAAGAAAGAACGTGGGACTCTGTAAGACTCATTGAGCAGAGCTGCCTGACAAGGCTGGACCTTGCACCATCTTCTGAACATTTATATGTAGGAGAAATGAACTTAAACCTTGCTTGAGCTACTAACTTTTTTTGTATGGTTATTTTGTTGCCACAGCCATATAACTTGAAAAATATACTACAGTACAGTAATAAAAATTGAACATTTATTCTAAACAAAGATACTGAAATAACCTTCCTCAGACATCATTCTCAAGAGTTATTTTGATTTATTTGATTGAATTTCAATAAAGTATAATAGCCAGTGTTTATAATGATGACCATTAGCCATCAAAGAAAAGGTTAATGCTTCACGTACCCTTTATAAGAAGAAAGGTAGATATATTTGATGTGTTTTAGAGAGTTTAATTTAAAACCATTCAAATGCAAACTTTTTTGTGTTTAACAGAGCAGTTCTAAGTCTCTGGAAAATTCAACTGACTGTAACAAAGAGATTTTTTTTTTTTTGAATATTTCCTAACAATGAAGATTTTATTAGACTCAGCTTTGGGGGACATATTTTTTTTTTTCAAGCTATCTACGTTGATGCTTTATTTGAAACAGTTCTGAGTTTGAGGGCTGTCTGCAGCCCTCGAACTCATTTGTTGCATCAAATGAGTAAAGACTCAAAGCATGGAGGAAAAAAAAAGGTACTTGTCAGTTTGAAAGTCACAGACAGTTTATCTTTCTATAATTAGATTAGGAGGAAAAAAACCACGAAGAACCCACTGGTAGCAGGAAGAAGCAAGAGTCTTCTAGAGTCTGGCATTTGATGAGCTATTCAGTTACTGTGCATTTCCATTGTTTTTCCATGGCAGAACATATGGCAGAGACTTGGGAACACGCATGCCTGAAGCCAGGTTACTCTTAGGTTCCATAACTATGTTGCTTGCAGGGCTGTTGTTGCCACAGTAGTTGGCTGTGCCCCAGACAAATGGGGTGCTGGTCTGTTCCCAAAGATCTTTATCCCAGTCCTCATCGCAAGGAGGGCACTGCCATGTGCTCTCAGCCAGAGTCTCTGGTCCAAGGTTCCTGGTTTGGTTGACAACATCCTGCTCAATACAACTTTTATCGTCACAGCTTGAGATATGATGACTGATTTCGGCCCGAGGAACCTGGTGGCGAGCATTGAAGGGACAAGTAGCCAATTTGTTTGCGACATCAGGATGATTCTTTCTGCACTTGATAAGATGATAAGGAAACCTGCAGGCCCTGATCTGGTGGTTTTTATCATAGGGGCATTGTAATAGCTTTTCGGGGTCCAGGGAATCGATGTAAGTTTCTTCCATGCTGGAAATGAAGAAGCTGAATCCAAGCGCTCGGTCGAGACACGTTCCCACAGTCGCTTTCTCCCCACACCCGCGCCCCAGCAACCTGGGGGACATATTTTTTAAATGACACCAAAATGGTTAGCAATAATTGGTATAGATAGGAATCCCATACTCCAAAGTCTTTGGGGTCAGAGTGGTAATATCACTATATGAAAGACAACAGAGAATGGTGTAGTTTGGGTTGTAGTTATCTGGAGAGTATCTGCCCCATATAAGATACTAACGTTCAAAACACTTTCAAATACCTGTCGAGGCTATGACAGAGTAACTAGAATGAGACCCTCTAGCTGTAAACAACTAGAAAATTAGACAAACTATACAAGTTTTCATAAATTGGAAAACAGACAGCACAAGACTATTATCCCTGAAAAAGAGACACAAATGAGGTGAGCCATATCGTCTTCCTGGAGGCACTTTCCAGACAGTGTTATGGGGAAGGGTATCTTAGACAGAGCAAGGCAGTCTTGTGAGGTAAGGGAAGAGAGGCTAGAGCTCCAGAGGGCTGAATTGGCTAGAATTTTGGAGGGAGAATGCTTACAAGAAGGAAACTGCCTGGAGAAAGACCTCCAGAAATCCTCAATTTCAGTATATGTGCTGCTGAAGCGAGCATCCTCCAGACATCTTAAAATGTGTATCCTTGCATAAGGTGGACTTCTACAAGGCCAGGCAAGTGACAGCTTGGGAGTAATAAATCAAACATTTCCTGGAGCTCACATAGGGCTGAGACACATCTGAGTCTTGACTAGCCAGAGAGGAGAATCCATGTTGACACTCAGGGACTTCAGTGGAGAAACCTCAGACAGGCTTGCTTTTGTGTGAGCTAAACTAATACCAGAGTGAAGTATACTTTCTATCTGCCTTAATAAACTTAAAATTCTTAAGATCACCAAGCTGCCCAACAAAACAAAATCCAGCACTCACAAAGCAAAATCTAGCACTGCAAAATAATATCCACCATTTACTACTACTACTACTACTACTACTAAATTACTAGCTATTTCAAAAAGTAGAACAAGAAAAAAAAATCAGTGAAACCAGATTAAGAGACAAGATAATAGGCTTAGCAGAGAAGCACTTTATTTTCCCCCTAGCTTTATTGAGCTATAATTGACAAATAAAATTGTGTAAGTTTAAGGTATATAATGTAATATTTTAATACACTGTATATAATGTGAAATGATTAGCACAGTAAGATTAGTTAATATATCTTTCACTGCACTGAGTTATATTTTTCTGTGTGGTGAAAACTTTTAAAATCCACTCTCTTAGCAACTTTCCATATAAAACAGAGTGGTTTATTTTATTTTATTTTATTTATTTATTTGCCTGAAAGAGAGTGAGAGTACAAGCAGGGGGAGCTGCAGGCAGAGGAAGAAGCAGACTCCCAGCTGAGCAAGGAGCCCAATGCAGGACTCGATCCCAGGACCCAGGGATCATGACCTGAGCCGAAGGCAGACGCTTAACCGACTGAGCCACCCAGGTGTCCCAAAACCATTGTTGTTAACTATAGTCACTATGCTCTATGATATAGTCCCAGAATTTATTCATCTAAGAAGCATTTCATATTTACTTTCCTAAGTAAATATCCTAAGATATAAGTGAAACTTCAATGCTTCTAACCTCTAAATAATAACTCACTCTTACGTAGCAAAAATATATATTTTCACAAATCAGTGTAGACCTCCTAAGTAATCTGTACGTATGTTTTATTTTCTTTACTGCAGTCCAGTAGAAATTGTACTTACCAGTTCCTGTTCTTTACATTTTCCCTCCACAGCTATTTGTATGAGTGATCCAGCTAGGTTTTATTTTCATTTGAAGTACACTCTACCACAAATACTTTTCCATACCATGAGAAACCAGTTGTAGTGGAAAATTTAAACAAAGACAAAACAATACATTTAATTTATTTTTAACAGACTTTAAATCGAGGTCAAAACCAGCAGCCTGAAGATAGGTTTTTTGGTTTCTGTGGATTTTTTGTCCAACAAAATGTTCACAGTTATTTCAATTTTCAGTGTCTTTAGGTGGGCTTGTATTCTCCAGCTTGTCATAAACCACTCCAGTCGTCTTATTTTACATCTGACATTCATGTACTATTTATGGTACCTCCTAGCCCATTAGGCACTTGAGTTTGCCAATCCCTACTTCGTGTGAATGAGCCAAAATTAATACATAATTTCTTCCTATTTTGCAGAAAACTTCCAAAATGACCACTAAAATAAATGATGGACTTTTTCCAAGACAACTAAATTTTTAACATGTTGGCTTAAAATTTTTTGGTAGGCCTTTTGTCAGTAATAGCCTCTTCAGAATGGAGAAAATAGAATGCAGTATCATTTCTTTGATTGTTTTGACTAAATTGTGTTCACAACCACATAGGGTGATTTTGCATAATCAAATTATGTATACTTTATATTTACATCGTTATTTTCAATTGTATATTTTAAAATATATTTTAAAGGATTACATGCTTAAAGAAAATATTAATAATTTATGTATAACTTTCCAGACTTCCCTTTAAAAAAATCACAGAACATTTTAAAATGTTTTATAGATGATTTATAAAATATTATTTTCTATATAGTATAAAAAGTCCACACAGTCTCATTGAATGACAAGGGGAAATTCACTATTTAGGGTATTAAATCTCCAAGATGACATTCTTTTCTTAACAAAATTGACCTATACTAATGTTAATAACTTTCTATTTAATACTTTGGGAAATAGTTGTGCAATACTTTACATAAATGGAAAAATTGGGGAACTTGAAATGTTAAGTAGTTCCTAAATCTCCCATGCTTTTTTTCCTGTGAACACTGCCTCATAAATCATTTTTTTGCTATGTTGTTTACCAGTTATTTGGATTTATTAGAGCTCTCCTCAGCCCAAATAATGGTGAGCTACCTTTGTTTATATTAACTGCTTTCCTGTCAGCCCCTAGCAGCATGCTCTATTCATGATGGTGATATTTTTTTTCTCTAATTCCCATATTTACTCTCAGCCCTAATCAAATATTTTTATTTTCTCTTCCTTTATTTGTCTAAAAAAGATAAACAAACATTAATTTGCAAAGACATGAGGAGCAATGAATCCAAGATGACCCTAAAGACTTTTCCAACTCCAACATTCCTTCAGCAAATCTTAAGATCTAGTTAATGTCATACCATGATGGTTTACTCTAATATGTATCCTTAAAAATTAAAATGGTAGAATTAGCTTAAGTGGCAAATAATATTTAACATATTTTTCTGAGATACAATGTAAGAGAATATGAAAAGTAACAAGACCACACTGACTTAGTTGTTTACAGCCTGATTGAATATTGAAATGATTTAGGGAGCTTTTAAAGTTAGTGATACCTATACCCATCACCCAGAAATTCTGATTTAATTTGTTTGAAATGCAGACTGGACGTGAAAATTTAAAAAAAATCCCCAGATGATTCTAAACTACAGCCAGTATTAAGAACCACCAGTATTAAGTCTAGCTGCCGTTTATCTGTTCTTAACTTCGACTACATATTAGAATCAACAGGTGCATTGAAAAATACATAGCTTCCCAGACTCTACTCCCATAAATTCAAATTAGTCTTTTTAGGGTAGAACCCAAGCATTATTTTGTTGTTGTGGTGGTTCCCGATGTCATGATTTTGATGTCAAGTCAATGTTAAGTACTATTGCTCAAGAATCAAGATGCTTACCATTGCAACATGAAAAAGAACATACTGTCGTTTTTTTTGTTTTTCTGATGACACGCAATGACCCTTACCTGCTAGAAGAGCTCAATGTCACAAATTTAGTTCTATAACTAATGTAGGTAAACTAGCTTTGTATTAAAAATTACTCATAGTAACAGTTACAGAATTTTAGGGTCTACTGGGGAAATTCAGTGCTTTTAGATTTGTTCTTCCTGCAAGTTTTGGTCAAATAAGGCATTGTACTTCTATCTGTGATCCAGAGCCAGAATTCTCAGTTGCTTTGAGAAAGTCTTTGTTGGCATAATGTTGCCATATTGGTTAGACTGAACGCGACTTTGGCTCATTTCTATTAATGCTCATTTCTTTTTTTTTTTTTTAATTTTTTATTCTTATGTTAATCCCCATACATTACATCATTAGTTTTAGATATAGTGTTCCATGATTCATTGTTTGTGCATAACACCCAGTGCTCCATGCAGAACGTGCCCTCCTCAATACCCACCACCAGGCTAACCCATCCCCCCACCCCCCTCCCCTCTAGAACCCTCAGTTTTGTTTCAGAGTCCATTGTCTCTCATGGTTCGTCTACCCCTCCGATTTCCCCTGCTTCATTCTTCCCCTCCCCCTACCTTCTTCTTCTTCTTTTTTTTTTTCCTTAACATATATTGTATTAATGCTCATTTCTATTAAGGCTTTCTTTGTACTCTTGGATACATGCTGAATGCATTAAAAGAAAAGCACAACCTCATAAATAGCTTCCTATAGTTCATGGAAATAAGAATGACTGCTTTTGAATTTATAACATGAGGAAAGGTGTAAAGAAATTTACTTATTTTTAATAATGTTGAACATGCAAGTGACAAAATCAATATAAAATAATCCATTCTCTTGGGTGCGGAAGGACACGGCGGTGCGTCCATGGCAGCGCGCGGCGGAAGCGGAGACGCACCGCGACTCCTGAGGCCCGAGCGTCACAACGAAGCCTCTCGAGGCGCGCCGGCCGTTGGCGGAGCTCGTTTCCTGGAGGAGGCCGGACCAGGGCGTGGTGGTCGCACGACAGAACTGTGAGGCGGTGCGCCGGCCGCTTTTGCTCTGAGGAAACCATGTAGAGCGCAGTGATGGCAGACGACTCCAAGCCGGACGGGAACACGGTGCAGGTGCTGCGGGACGCGGCCAACCGCCTGCGAATCCATTCCATCAGGGCCACGTGTGCCTCCAGCTCCGGCCACCCCACTTCGTGCTGCAGCGCCGCTGAGATCATGTCCGTGCTCTTCTTCCACACCATGAGGTATAAACGGACAGACCCGGAACACCCCGACAACGACCGAT